GTTGTTGTTGTTGATGATGTTGTTGTTGTTGTTGATGTTGTTGTTATTGATGTTTTTGTTGTTGTTGTTAGATGTTGTCACAGCGTTAATGTCATTTTTGTTGATGATGTTATTAGCCATGATTTCGTTAATTTCTTGGACGTTGTTGACATTGATGCTGTTGCCGTTACAGTTGCTACCCTTCACAACAAAATTGTTGTTATCGTTGTTGTTGTAGTTGTTGTTGTTGATGTCGATGACGTCATCCATGTTTTTGTTGATTTAGTTGATGTAATATAACTTTTATTTATATGTAATATAACTTTTAAATGTAGTAAGAGTAGTAGTAGTTGTTGTTATAGTTGTAGTTTGGTGATTATGTTGTTGTTGTTGTTGATGATGATGTTTAACGATACTGATGTTGTTATTGTTGTTAACGCAGTTATTGTTGTCTGTTGTTGATGTTGTTGTTGACAACTCTGCAAATAATGTTTATGTTTTAAAATGGTAAAAAAACAATTATCATCATCATTATATTATTATTATTACAATTACAATACTTAAATACCTTAAAACGTCATTTCAATGAGATTGACATCCATTTAAATTAATTTAATCATTTAATTTAATTAATTCAATAAGGCTAATTGGCGTAATTACAACTTCGATGACGTCATCTCATTATGTATAACTATTATCATAACGTATTAATATTTATAATTGTATATTTAAGGTATACATAAATGTAATAGAGCCAGATCCAGCTGGGTCGTTAAAAATTTGGTTTCAGCATTTAATTCGAATTTTTAAACGAAACGACTTTTTCTATTCAAACTCGATTGCATCCATTTAGCAGAGTTTTGATGTAACAATCCTAATTGAATTGGTGTGAATAGTCCCATCTTCACCCCAACTTCTACAACTTCATCATCTTCATCATCATCACATGGAAAAACTCAATCATCATCTTCATTGTCATCATCGTCTTCATCATCTTCAGACCTTTTAAGACCGAAAAAAGGCAACAACAACAGCACAAAACATCCATCCGCACACAGCTGTTTCTAACTTTTAATCAGGAGTTTACTTTTTCGCATCACTCATACCTCTTCTTCTTTCTCTCTTTCTTTCTCTCTCTTTCTCTCTTTTTTACTCCCTTT